TCAGTTCGGTCACTCAGTCGTGTACGATTCTTTGCGACCCCATGGACTGCAGCATGCCAGGGCACCTAACAGGGAATTAGGTGCCAAAGTAATGGCAAAATTTCACCATTTTACAACCCTAATTCAGTAATGAATCCAGGCAAGTCTTCAATGGCCACTGAACTCATTAGGTGAAAAGTTGATGGGGACTTTTATAATAGGAGGATAAAAGCTGATAATCACAAAAAGAAAGGCAACCAAGTAAGACCTGAAACTATAAGACTCCTAGTAGAAAACAAAGGCGGTAAGCTCCTTGACATCAATTTTGGCAAAGATTTTTTTTGGATTCAATATAAACAAAGGAACATCAAACTAAATATAAACAAATATAAACAAGGGGAAACACATCAAACTAAAAAGCTTCTACACAGAAATGGAACCATCAACAAAATGAAAATGCAACCTACTGAATGAAACTATTTGCAAATCATTCACCTGATAAGGGGTTAAGATCCAAAATACATAAAGAACTCACACAACTCAATAGCCAAAAAAAATTCAATTAACATTTGAAGATCTGAGTATCTGAATAGACATTTTTCCAAAGAAGATGTACAGATGGGCAGCAGGCACATGAAAAGATGCTAAACGTCACTAACCATCAGGGAAAAGCAAATCAAAACCACAATGAGACACCTTACGTGTCAGAATAGCTATTTTCAAAAAGACAGGAAATGACAAGGATGTGGAGAAAAGGAAAACTTTGCACTCTGTTGGTGGGAATGTAAAATGTTTCAGCCACAAGGGAAAACAGTATAGGGGTTCCTCGAAAAATTAAAAATAGAACTACCATAAGATCCAGCAATGTAGGTTTTTTTCCAAAGAAAACAAAAACATTAACTTAAAAAGATCACTGCACACTGCGGCATTATTTACAATAGCCAAAATATGAAAATAACTTGAGGGTACTGATAGATGAATGGATAAAGAAAATGTGTGTGTGTGTGTCTATGTATATATATACACATATAAATATAATGGAATATTATTCAGCCATAAAAAAGAATGAAATCTTGTCATCTGCAACAAACTTTAGGGTATTTTGCTAAGTGAAGTAAGTCAGACAGAGAAAGTGATCTCACTCATACATGGAATCTATTAAAAACAAACAAAGATGGAATAGGAAATGGTAGCCTACTCCAGTACTCTTGCCTGGAAAATCCCATGGACAGAGGAGCTTGGCAAGCTACAGTCCATGGGGTCGCAAAGAGTCAGCCGCAACTGAGCACGTCAGCACATACCATGATCTAAAATCGTTGTTTCCTTTTGTATTCTATCAGAAGAGTTTGGGACTTCCAACTCTTGCGTATCCTTGCCGATATGTTTAGTCTTTTAAAATTTTTGATCTTTTTAATAAATGTATAGCAGTAGGGAAAAAAAACAAAAAAACTACAAAGAGGGGCTTCCTTGGTGGTCCAGTGGTCAAGAATCTGCCTGCCAATGCAGGAGACATGGAGACACACAGGATGGATCCCTGATCCAAGAAGATCCCACATGCCACAGAGCAACTAAGCCCCTGCATCACAACTACTGAGGCAGCACTCTAGAGTCTGTGAGCTACAACTACCAAGCCCAACTGCCCCAACTACTGCACCCAAGCACCCTAGAGCCTGTGCTCCGTGATAAGAGAAACGACCGCATTGAGAAGCCCACGCACTGAAACTAGCAAGCAGCCCCTTCTTGCTGCAACTAGAGAAAGCATGCATGCAGGAACAAAGACCCATCGAAGCCAAAAATAAATAACTAAATAAATCTTTAAAAAACAGAAACAAAATCACAGATACAGAGAACAGATTGGGGGTTGCCAGAGGTGAGGGGTAGGGGGTAGGTAGAACGGGTGAAAGCAGCCAGAGCATGGCCTACCCTGAGATAAGGGGCCTGCACTCCTTCCTGGCCTAGGAATCTATTAAAAACAAACAAAGATGGAATAGGAAATGGTAGCCTACTCCAGCATTCTTGCCTGGAAAATCCCATGGACAGAGGAGCTTGGCAAGCTACAGTCCATGGGGTCGCAAAGAGTCAGACGCAACTGAGCACGTCAGCACATACCATGATCTAAAATGGTTGTTTCCTTTTGTATTCCTATCAGAAGAGTTTGGGACTTCCAATTCTTGCGTATCTTTGCTGATATGTTTAGTCTTTTAAAATTTTTGACCTTTTTAATAAATGTATAGCAGTAGGGAAAAAAAAAAACTACAAAGAGGGGCTTCCCTGGTGGTCCAGTGGTCAAGAATCTGCCTGCCAATGCAGGAGACATGGAGACACACAGGATGGATCCCTGATCCAAGATCATCCCACATGCCACAGAGAAACTAAGCCCCTGCATCACAACTACTGAGGCAGCACTCTAGAGTCTGTGAGCTACAACTACCAAGCCCACCTGCCCCAACTACTGCACCCAAGCACCCTAGAGCCTGTGCTCCGTGATAAGAGAAACCACCGCATTGAGAAGCCCACGCACTGAAACTAGCGAGCAGCCCCTTCTTGCTGCAACTAGAGAAAGCATGCATGCAGGAACAAAGACCCAGCGAAGCCAAAAATAAATAACTAAATAAATCTTTAAACAACAAACAGAAACAAAATCACAGATACAGAGAACAGATTGGGGGTTGCCAGAGGTGAGGGGTAGGGGGTAGGTAGAACGGGTGAAAGCAGCCAGAGCATGGCCTACCCTGAGATAAGGGGCCTGCACTCCTTCCTGGCCTCGCAGTGTGGGAAGTGCAGGAGGGCAGGGACACACGTGGACTGTTCCCAGCCCCGGCCATGCCCCCACTCACCAGCACCTGGCCTCTGGGGGCATGCTTCCTCTCTCTCATTCCCTTCCTCTCCGCCCCACGGGCCTTCAGGACAAGGCTCCTCTCCCTTCTCCATCCGGGTGAGGATGTCCGGCTTGGAGATGGCATAATCTGTGTGCAGAGTATAGAGAGAGCTGGGTCAAGACTGAACACATGCCACTCAGGTGCCCAGAGACACAGCGACACCTGGAGAAACAGAAGCCAAAGCTGCGACACAGCCTGCAGGAGGCCCACCTGTGGACAGGGGCCCGGAGCATCATCTAGACAGCCTTACCCAGGGAGACCAGCATCTCGTAGTTGCCCCTCATCACGTGCTTGTACAGCTCTTTCTGCCACTCGTCCAGCTTGCCCCACTCCAGCTCAGAGAAATACACGGCCACGTCATCAAAGGTCACGGGCACCTGGAACCACAGGGTCACGCAGGCTCACCCGCACGCCGACGGCAGGGGCCGCGGGTTGTCCCACCCCCGGTGCCCAGGGCTTACCTTGGGGGCCTCGCCCTTGCTGCCTGGGGGCAGCCGCAGGATCCAGAAGTTCCTGTTCCTCAGCAGGTTCTCCACGTTCTCCAGCCGCCTCTGCAGCAGCCCGTACTCCTGGAGCAGGGTCCCCAGCACGGCCCACTTGCCCTCCAGCTGGTTCCCGAACTCCACGGCCGTCTTCTCACAGTCGGCCAGCTTCTTCTCGGCCGTCCCTGTCCGCCCCTCCAGAGTCAGCAGGCGGGCCAGGCAGGAATCCACCTTCTTCTCCACGGCCTGGATGGCAGCCACCACGGTCCACAGTGTGATCTCCGTGGAGTATAGGTAGGAGTTCTCAGCGGCCGGCTGGGGTGATGGAGAAGGAGTCGAAGGCCTTTCATCCCCTGTTGGCCTGTCCCTCTCTGGAGCCTGTCCAGCAAAAGCAAGGGGAGATATGATCACAATTGTCCAGTGAGATGTCCATCTCAAAGAGAAACCTCAGGATGGCACCTGCCCAGGTGAAGCCCCACCTGGGATCCTGAGGACCCAGCAGGAAGCGGAGGGGGCAGGGGGGATATCCATCCTCAAGGATAGGCTGGACCAGGGTGTTAGCGAGTGGGAATCAAGAGGAAAAGCATCTGTCACCTCGCACAGGTGACTTCCCTTCCTGGTCTCGATCTCCTCCTCTGACAGTCAGAAGCTTGGTGGCACTGGTACTACTCACGACTGGCTGAGCTCTGCAAAGTTTATTATGCATTTCAACTCCAACCCCACATCTGTAAAATCGGGGTAATAATAATACCTACATGATGGGATTGTGAGAATTAATGATACTGTCTTAGTAAAAAGCAATTAACATGATGCCCAATGTGGCAAATACTCAATAAACATGGGCCCTGNGGTTGCAAAGAGTCAGACACGACTGAGCAACTGAACTGAACTCACTGTCTTAGAAATGAGCTTCTGAAGTGCCTCAGCTGACCTCGGGGCCTGATGACCAGGCCTCAGCCCCAGTTCGTCTCACTAAAAGCCTTGCTGGGCAGATGGACCACTTCACTCCTTCACTGTACTCATCCCCATGGTCAGATCACCATCAAGTCCTATCTGTGCACCTTCTGAAACTATCTCAAGTCCATCCTTTTCTCTCCTCCTCTGCCACGACTAGTCCAAGCCCCAGTCACCTTTCCCCGGAACTGTTGCTACTCTGCCTGGTTGGCTTCCCCAGTTCACCCTTCCTCCCCCGCAATCCATTTCCCACAGGGTGACCAGTAATCTTTTAAATACACAGACTAGAGCATTTTAGTCCCCTGACTGATAGCTTCCCGGTGTACCCAGAATAAAATCTAAATGTCTTATCATATCCCAGCCTACCTCCTTGACCTTGTATCCTCCTGGGTATTAACTACAGGCCAGCTCCCCTAACCTCCTGGGATCCTTAGGATGTACCTGGCTCTCTCCTCCCCCTTTGCCTGAGAGCTTCCTTCACGCCTCTTTACGCCTGGCTCCCCCTTCTGTAAGACTCCAGCTTAAACACTGCCTCACAGAGACCTTCACCAACGGACACATCTCAACTAGGTCCCCTGCTAGCCCTTCCTTCACAGCACTGATAATCCATGATCGCACCGTGTTACGGCTTGTGTTGTTCCCCATGAGGACATAAGATCCATGGGACATCAGCTCCATGAAGGTGTATTATTCACCGTTGTATTCCCAGCTTTGAAAACAGTGCCTCATTCATAGCAGATGCTCAGTAAATACCCACTGAATGAGTGAATGACTACACAATTAAACACATTCATTCAATAACAATGACGAAATACCTGTCAACAGCAAAGGTACAATGGGGATGCAGAAAAAAATTATGTGGTTCTTCCTTGTGCTGGAGAAAAGTTATGTACCTAGACAGTCAAATTAACAGTGTGATACCAGGGGCTAATGAAAGTTGAGGGCAAGTCTATCCTGTTGGGCAAATGTGTTGGGGATCTCAGGTGCTGCAAGAGAGCAGGAGACAGGCAGATGAGAAGGGCCAGGAGAAGTGCTGAGAAAGTGGTCCTGGGCTAAGTGGGAGCTGAAGAGGACACCTGTAGCCCCAGGGAAAGGACTTGCTGGGGGCTTTCCCCAGGGAACAGGGCTGTAAGTCCCAGGAACCTCCATCCTCTTTTTTGCCCTTGTACTCAGAGAGCCCTTAAACACACACATACACACCAAACTCACCAAAGAGGAAAGAAAAAGAAAGTGAAAGTGAAGTCGCTCAGTTTTCACTCTGACTCTTTGTAACCCCATGGACTGTAGCCTACCACGCTTCTCCGTCTATGGGATTTTCCAGGCCAGAGTACTGGAGTGGGTTGCCATTTCCTTCTCCAGAAGATCTTCCTGACCCAGGGAGGATTGAACCCAAGTCTCCCACATTGCAGGCAGACGCTTTACCGTCTGACCCACCAGGGAAGTCCTCCTTAAGGAAAGGAAAGTTCCTCCTTAAAAAGTATCCAAAATAATCAGCATCTAGAAAAACCAAGACTTCAAAAACCTTGTTAAGATGTATTAATAATGACAGATATGCATTGATGGCGCAGTGGTAAAGAACCCGCCTGCCAACGCAGGAGACGGAAGAGAGACCGGTGGGATCCCTGCATCAGGAAGACACCCTGGAGAAGAAAATGTCAACCCACTCCAGTATTCTTGCCTGGAGAACCCCATGGACAGAGGAGCCTGGTGGGCTACAGTCCACGGGGTCACGAAGAGTCCGACACGACTGAGAGACTCACCACGCGTGCACGGTGGATTGAGTGCTTCACAAACGTTTTTCTACTAGGTCCAAAAAAAAAAAAAAACACGCCAAAAGGTTATTTTCTCCAAACTGGACACACTGTATGTTATCAGCCAACATTCCAGTATCTGCTCATCTTTTATAAACCACAACAAAAAACAAAAACACCCGCCTACAAGCCCTGCAGCAAACAGCACTCAACACCCTCTCTTTGCTGTCAGCGCACGTGTGCACCCGAAAGGGGACCAATTCCGGGTGGGCGTCAGGCTCTGGCCTCGACTCGGTGGGCAACTCTGGGCGCGCCCCGCCCCCCAGCCTCAGACAGAACCGATGGGACCGGGGTGCCTGTCCACCCCCCCGCCCCGGCCTGTCTCCAGGCCGCCGGGCCTCCAGTGAGACAATGGACGGGAGGAGACCGCCACTCGGTTCCAAGACGAGGGCTTGTCATCTTAAATGTGACCGCAAAGTCGGGCCAGTCTCCCGACGTCGGGGCCGCCCACCCACCGCGCACGGCCTGGCGTTTGGGCCGCCCAAGGCGCGGCCGGGACGAGGGCAACCGGGAGGCCCGAGCGGGCAGGAGTCGACGCCGGGGCCGCACGCGCCGCGGGGCCCACCGGCCAGGCTTCCGTCGGGCGGAGCCAATCCTTGGGCCCAGGCCGGGCGGGGTGCTTGGGGGTGGGGGGTGGATTCCAGCCAGTAAACTAACAAAGGAAACGCGCTGGAAACTTCGAGGCTTTGGGGTAAGACGCTCAGTCATCGCCGGGTGACCTCAATTGTGTATGCACTTGATCTGCCGTTTTAACACCTCTAATGGACCCCAAATAACTGTTAGTTTGGGTATACATTTTGCGCGGGGACAGCCAAGGTGGAGTGGGAGGGATCGATAAGTATTTTTAAACTTTTATTAGTTTTCCGGAATAAAGAGAAGGATCTCAAGAAAACTGCATTTCGTTGAACAAACCAACCCTGCCTCCTTCGTTCCTTTTGGGGATCCAGGGTTTCCTCCGCCTTCCCGGGGCCGCCCTCCCAGCAGGTACCGGCTCGAAGGCCCTCTCTGCCACACCCAGTTGCCCGTCAGCTACCACCTGGGGGTCCTCTGAATGCAGAGGACTAAATCCACCACTAACTCAGGCCCTGAGGCATTTGGAATAAACGACTCAATCTGGGACCTGTTTTCCTCTCATCTGCAACCCACAGAGCCTTACTCTGGAAAACCACTTAATCACCTAATGTAAACTTAAACGGGCTTCCCAGGTGGCTCAGTGGGAAAGAATCCGCCTGCAAAGCAGGAGAACCGGGTTCCATCCCTGGGTCGGGAAGATCCCCTGGAGGAGGGAATGGCAACGGAAACCCGCTCCGGTATTCTTGCCCCGAAAAGCCCATGAACAGAGGAGCCTGGTGGGTTTCAGTCCGTGGGGCTGCGAAGAGTGGAACACGACTGAGCCTGCGCTCATGTGCAGACACCTAGAGTAAAATAGGCTTTCCTTCCCTGGTCCAGTGGCTAAGACTCCACCCTTCCAATGCAGAGGGTGTGGGTTCCATTTCTGCTTGGGGACCCAAGGTGCGGGGCAGCCAGAAAATAAAGTAAAATATGCTGTATACAGTTTAAGCTTTACTTTCTATATTTTCTGCAATTCGCAATAATGTCACTCTGTCCAACAAGCCTGGAAACTCTTCCAGGTTTGAAACAGTTAGAAATTCGTCTGCAGTTTTGTTTCTTTTGTTTTCTTTCTTTTTTTTCTCTTGGGAGGGAGGGAGAAAGAAAATGATTAGCCCATATATCTTGATCCAAGCAAAAGTTAACATAGTTAACGTAATTAACATAGAGGTCAGTTAACATAGTGTGTGTGTTAGTTGCTTAGACCGCAGCCCACCAGATCCTCTGTCCATGGGATTCTCCAGGCAAGAACACTGGAGTGGTTAAGAAGGGGAAAAAAAATTGATACCTTCCTCAGGTCAGGTGCACCCCTAGAATCTGGGACAAGGTTAGGAAGTATTACTTTAAGTAACAAAGTATATATGGTATTGTTCATCCTGGGAATCCTGTTGAAGTAACCTGATCTAAGACAGTTTGCAAACAAAAGTGTACCCCTCAGTTCTCAGCAGGGGTCAGGCAGGCAGACCAATGTATTAAGGATTACAAATTTCTTATAATTTTCTAAGTTGTGATCTCATAAAATAAGAGTTAATGTCCAAGGCAAACAGAAAGAATCTGGAAAATGGATGGGAGAGGAAGAAGATGTTAGAATTTCACAGGCTTTGATCCGGGAAGAGTGCTCTCATTTTTGACAGGTGGTCAGAGTTTTTTAGAAAAGAGTTTCCGTAAGTCAGTATTCAAGTTTTAGTGTCCTGATCTCCTGGAGTGCTTATTAAAATACAGATTGCTGGACACGGGTCTCAGAATTTCCAGGTCTGAGGCTGGAGTCGGTGGGGCAGAGGGCGGGTGGCATACAAAATTTTGTTTCTGTTTGCCATGAGGTGTTGATTCTGCTAGTTGAGTGATCACACTGCCCTGCCCATTAGCTCCCAAAGCTGCCTCCCATTCCCAGGCTCTGATTTTATAAATATATTAAACAAAAAATACAAAACCTTGACACCATCATGTGGTTTCCTGAGCAGACCAGCCAGGATGTCAGGCCAGGTGTTGCTCTAATATAAATTAAGATGACATGCATCCTTAGTTATTAATCTTTCTCTTGTGGATTTTCTCTTTTCTGGAGCAGGTCTCCAGCGCCTGAGTACCTCTGCGAGAGCTGACAACACTGGATTTCCACAGTAGAGACACAGACCCTGGAGGGACGGGGTGACCCCACCTGGGTGCAGGCCACTCTAGCACAGTCGACCATCAGCCTCTGCAGCGGAAGGTGGGCTTGTCAGAGGTTGAGGGCCATTCAAACACCAAGGGTCATGTAGGGTGAGGGAAGGGTCAAGGTACTGTAATGCCAGTGACCCCACTGCTGCATCCTCGGCCAGGAGACGGGGCAGAGAATTCCCACGCCTCCCTACCTTTAGATTAGGAAGTGGACACCCCCTCTAAAGTAGCAGGATGGGAGGTATTAGCAGAGGGAGACCAGAAGGATAACCAAATCCCCTTGCTCCACAAAGCCCTCCCTTGTTGAGACAGCACTGGGCTCCCTGTTCGGTGAACTCCTGTTAGACCTAATCACTCAGCGGACGTTCGGTGAGCACCTCCGTGCCAAGCCTCCAAGCTCAGAGCTGTGGAATCCGGACACGATTGAACCTGGTCCCTGCCTTCAAACAGCATCACCTCCTGTTGACTCTACCTCCGTGATCTTGTCCACCACTCTCTTCCAACTGCAGCTACACCCAATCAGACCTTCATCGGCTCTTGCTGGTCTCACTCAAAAACCTCTCACATATCCCCCGTGCACCCCCGCCCTCAACAAAAACAAAAGCTCTTATTAGGGTAATCGTCCCAATTCACAACTGGATACAGATCACCCTTTTGCTCAAAACTCTCAGCTCCCCATTACTAACTCAGTAAAATCCAAACTCCCTAGTCTGACCCCAACCTCTTTTTCCAACTACGTCCCCCACTACTCCCCTCCTCCCACCCCAACCTCAGCCGAGTCAAATGAACTGGTGTTTATTGGTACATACTCCATAATGTCGTTTGGTCATGTCGTTCCTTTTTAGAATGTACTTCAACTCATCCTTAAAGGTCCAGCTCAAAAGGCATCTCTCATAATGCCATTCCCAGTGTCCCACAGCTGAATGTAATTGTTTTCTGAATTCTTATGGACTTTAGCTTCACTTAGGACATATAGTTTTCGATCTTCTATTAGATATCCCTGACAACCTGTAAACCCAAGAACAAAGTCCCAGATTTATTAACCTTTTACCCTTCCTCTGCAGACTTTGCACATGGAGGAGACTTGGATATTCACGAGTGAACAAAATCTAAGGCTGTGCAAAGTACAGTACACGAGGGGAGCAGATTTCCACCCGTGTTCACAGCAGCAGTTTACAATAGCCAAGACACAGAAGCAACCTAAGTGCCCACCAACAGGTGAATGGAAAAAGATGTGGTCCACATACGCAGCGGAATACTAGTCAGTCATTAAAAAAGTGGCAATTTGCCAGTTGTGACAACGTGGATGGGCTTGGTGGGTATTATGCTAAGTGAAGTAAGTTGGCTACAGAAAGACAAATACTCTATGATATCACCTATATGTGGATCACTTATATGTGGAATCTTAAAAACACAACAAACTAGTGAATGTAACAGAAACAGACTCACAAGGAACAAACTCATGGTCACCAACAGGGAGAAGGAAGCAGGGAGGAGCACATGGGAGCAGGGGTCGAGAGGTGCAAACTATCGCGCACGGAATAAGCTACAAGGACGTACTGTACAGGGCAGGGAGTGTAGCCAGCATTTTTAGTAACTATAAACAGAGCATCATCTTTAAAAATTGTGAATCTCTATAGTGTACACCTGTAACTTACATACTGTATATCAACTATACTTCACTATTTTAGTGTTCTTTTTTAAAAATAACTTTCTCATCTTTTTTGACTGCTACAGTACATGGTATTTCTTTTTTTTTTTTTTTTTTAGTGTTTTATTCATCTGGCTGCACCAGCTCTGTTGCGGCATTTAGGATCTTTAATCTCTGTTGTGGCATGTGAACTTAGTTGCAGCATGTGGGATTTAGTTCCCTGACCAGGAATCAAACCCAGGCCACTTGTTTTGGGAGCATGGAGTCTTAGCCACTGGACCGCCAGGGATATCATATACTTCAATTTAAAAAAAAAAGCAGCATAGAGAATTTAGTATGACAGGTGAAGAAACCCGGAGCAGGATAGGTGGTCTAAGTCTTGAGTTCTACACTTAAAAGCTTGCCCTAAGGCTCTGAGGAAAGGCCATGTCCAATTTATGTTCCAGGACAATAACTCTGGTAGCAAAAAGGATGTGATTAGGGATAGGAAATCAATTAGATTACTGAATGAAAATCTAGGTGGATGACAATGAGGATCTTACCTGCAGGAACAGCAAGAAGATACCACCGATTAGTCGCTGGTGTTTGGCATTTCATTCCTCACGATGTGTTGATTTCAAGCTAACTTGATCATCCTTGTCCTTCAGGCAGCTGCACTGCTTGTTACCTTCTCATCACCCAACAGAGCAGGCTTTCAATGAAGGAGAGCTAAAGCAGGCAAGATTTTTTTTTTGTATCACTGGCAAACAGGACATTCTGTGAGCCGAGCATGTCCCGGAGATCTTGTGAAAAGGCAGATTCTGACGCAGTGAGGCTCAGAGTCTGCATTTCTACCGGGCTCCCAGGGGAGGCCAGTGTGGAGGCCACGCTTCAGGTAACAAGGACTTAGAATCCAACTCAGACACAAGGTCCTTAATCGTGCTCCACCAGCAACAGAGCTGTGGTCAAGTGTGTGGGCTCTGAGGCAAGACGGCCTGGTTCACACTCAGCTCTGCTTCTACATCACCTCTCGGGTCTCTCCTCACATCTCACGTGGAAAATGGGGTAATAACCATACACACCACGTAGGGTCTTGTGAGGAAGTTCATTTTGACGTGAAGAACTTAAAACAGTTGTTGTTCAGTCACTTGGTCCTGTCCAACTCTTTGCAACCCCATTGACTGCAGCACACCAGGCTCCTCTGTCCTCCACTACCTCCTGGAGTTTGCTTAAACTCATGTCCACTGAGTCAATGATGCCATCTGACCATCTCATCCTGTTGCTCCCTTCTCTTCCTGTCCTCAATCTTTCCCAGCACCAGGGTCTTTTCCAGTGAAAACGCTGGGCTTCCCCTATGGCTCAATGGGTAAAGAATCTGCCTGCAATTTAAGAAATACAGGAGATACAGGTTTGATCCCTGGATTGGGAAGATGCCCTGGAGGAGGAAATGGCAACCCACTCCAGCATTCTTGCCACTATTACACTAGTCCGATAGATTGATACAATCACTTCCCTTCCTCAAGAAGAACCTGACTTTGCTGGAGTAACAGGACCTATCTTGTATTTTGCTTTTCTCCCTACGATGCGAGGCAAAGGCCGGTCACGTTAAAGCACTCCTGGGGTGGGATAACGGGGTGTCTCTAATGCAAAAGGTCGCAGGGACGAGGCTGGAGAAGGGATTCAGGAGATGCTCCAGAGGTTTCCTGCACATGGTGAAGCTGAGCACCTTTCAGGGCCTTGCCCTATGACAACGTCCCTCCCCATTCTGTTTCTACACCAAGATTATCCCTTACTTACAGAGACCAAGCTCGTTTCTATTTAATCTGTTCCTTTTGAACCCGACATCCCTCTCACTATCCTCACAGGCAACCATAAAGCCTGTACAGAACTTTTCACTTGTGTGTTCTTACAAAATGACTTGATCCCGTGGACAGAGGAGCCTGGCGGGCTACAGCCCATGGGGTTGCCAAGAGTCGGACCTGACAGAGCAACTCACACACACATACACATGCATTTTTAATTTACAGAAATGGTATTGTGTTATAGATCACATTCAATTTCTTAAGACATTCCCCACCAGCACCAAGTATTTAAGATGGACCCACACTGCTCCATGTACACCTATGCCAACACTCCTGTCTCCCGTGACCCCTCATGTACCACCGTGTTTCACCTGCCCTCCCCATCGCCCACCTCCCAGCGACTCAGACACTCAGCCTGTCTGCAGTCCTCGACCAGCACAGATGCTGGCGAGTATCCCCTGCGTGCCCTCCTCGCTGCTGCCCAGGTTTAAGGAAGGTGCAGGCCAGGCTGTGCCACGAGGCCTTCACCCTGGCCCCAGGAGGGAATTCTCGACAAATGGAGAAAGCCATCAAACAGGAGCACTTTTTTTTTTTTTGCCAGTAGCAAGTTTTATTCTAAGCAACTGCACATCATCAAAGGGGACACACACAGGACCCAGGAGCCCGCTCCCAGCTCCCCCACGCCCCCGCAACAGGGGGCGGGCATCCAACACTCCTGAGACACAGTGCTTTTTCTCCATCCTCTCAGGAAATCAGGTCCAGAACAAGTGTGCAGTGTGTGTGATCTGAACAACCTCAAGAAACAACTGGTGTAACAGGGACCAACTCAAGGGACAACAGGAGATACAGGTTTGATCCCTGGATTGGGAAGATGCCCTGGAGGAGGAAATGGCAACCCACTCCAGCATTCTTGCCACTATTACACTAGTCCGATAGATTGATACAATCACTTCCCTTCCTCAAGAAGAACCTGACTTTGCTGGAGTAACAGGACCTATCTTGTATTTTGCTTTTCTCCCTACGATGCGAGGCAAAGGCCGGTCACGTTAAAGCACTCCTGGGGTGGGATAACGGGGTGTCTCTAATGCAAAAGGTCGCAGGGACGAGGCTGGAGAAGGGATTCAGGAGATGCTCCAGAGGTTTCCTGCACATGGTGAAGCTGAGCACCTTTCAGGGCCTTGCCCTATGACAACGTCCCTCCCCATTCTGTTCCTACACCAAGATTATCCCTTACTTACAGAGACCAAGCTCGTTTCTATTTAATCTGTTCCTTTTGAACCCGACATCCCTCTCACTATCCTCACAGGCAACCATAAAGCCTGTACAGAACTTTTCACTTGTGTGTTCTTACAAAATGACTTGATCCCGTGGACAGAGGAGCCTGGCAGGCTACAGCCCATGGGGTTGCCAAGAGTCGGACCTGACAGAGCAACTCACACACACATACACATGCATTTTTAATTTACAGAAATGGTATTGTGTTATAGATCACATTCAATTTCTTAAGACATTCCCCACCAGCACCAAGTATTTAAGATGGACCCACACTGCTCCATGTACACCTATGCCAACACTCCTGTCTCCCGTGACCCCTCATGTACCACCGTGTTTCACCTGCCCTCCCCATCGCCCACCTCCCAGCGACTCAGACACTCAGCCTGTCTGCAGTCCTCGACCAGCACAGATGCTGGCGAGTATCCCCTGCGTGCCCTCCTCGCTGCTGCCCAGGTTTAAGGAAGGTGCAGGCCAGGCTGTGCCACGAGGCCTTCACCCTGGCCCCAGGAGGGAATTCTCGACAAATGGAGAAAGCCATCAAACAGGAGCACTTTTTTTTTTTTGCCAGTAGCAAGTTTTATTCTAAGCAACTGCACATCATCAAAGGGGACACACACAGGACCCAGGAGCCCGCTCCCAGCTCCCCCACGCCCCCGCAACAGGGGGCGGGCATCCAACACTCCTGAGACACAGTGCTTTTTCTCCATCCTCTCAGGAAATCAGGTCCAGAACAAGTGTGCAGTGTGTGTGATCTGAACAACCTCAAGAAACAACTGGTGTAACAGGGACCAACTCAAGGGACCGCCCGGGTACAAGCTGACCAACCCAAAGTGAAAACGGGAATCTCCACCCTGGGAGGCTGTGGAAGCACAGCGGGGACGGGCTGGAAGGGCAGGGAGGAGCCCCCCTCGCAGAAGGAGCCGTACCCCAGCTCCTCTCCTGGACCCTCCCCGCCCAGCAGGGGCTCTGCGGGCTCCCTCACTACACTGTCCCTCGTGGTCTGTTAGCCCCCCCGGAACGCCCAGGACCCCCACGACAGGGGGCTCAGCACTGCGTCCCGGCCTCTGGCCTGACTGAATGTGGGTGGGCTGAGCGAGCCCGTGAGTGATTCCCTCCTGGAGGGCAAGCCAGGTCCCCCTGTTAGGAACAACTTCTACGACTCTGGAAATTTAAACCGTGCCAGGCTTTCTTCATCAACTAAAATCTAATCCCCCCTCCCCCCAAAAAAAGGTTCTTCAGAGCAGGGTAAGCAGTTCCCTTTAATTATCTCCTCTACTTGTCCGGAACCAGGAGACCACAGAAGAGGAGGACCCACGAGGCTGTGCATCCACACGCCCGCTCACTCCTCTGACTCAGACTCAACCCCTGGGAAGACCCAGAGGCTGGGAGAGGCCCCCGGCCAGCAGGGTCAGACAGCCCCACCCAGCCTGTCACTTTCTGCTCGGACGGGAAACCAGAGATGGCAGGAGAGGCCTGGCCCAGGCTCCCCGCCTCCCCCGGCTGTCAGGACAGCCTCTGGGCTCGGCCCAGCGCCTGGCCACGGAAAGCAAACCAGAGAGAGCCCCCTCGGAGAAGTTAGTCTCCGACCCTGCAGTGTCTGTTGGGGGACAGTGCCAGCTCCCCCCACCCGCCCTCCGCCGGGTGAGGGGCTGGCACCCCTAGAGCAGGCCGCTGGGCCTGGCAGGCTGCAGGGCCAGCCCGCCCCGCTCCCGCTGGTGGATCTTCTGGTGCTGCAGGAGGTGCTGCTTCTGCACGAAGCTCTTCTCACACTCCGGGCAGCTGTAGGGCCGCTCGCCCGTGTGGATGCGCTGGTGCCGCACCAGGTCCGATGGGTGGCTGAAGCTCTTGCCGCAGTAGCCGCAGAGGAGGGAGCCCCGGCTCCTCCTCCAGGGGATGTGGCCGGGCAGGGCAACCAGGCTGTTGGGTGAGAACCGCTCCTGGGCCGGGCGGCCGGCCCGGGCGGCCTCCTGCAGGTGGCAGCGCTGGTGGGTCAGCAGGCTCACCCGGCAGCGGAAGCTCCTCGCGCACGCGTCGCACTGGAGTGGCTGCACCTTCCGGGCTGGGGGCTTCAGCTGGGGCCGGGGCCTCGCCTCTGGCTCTGAGGGGGTCTGCGGGTGTGAGGCCTCGCACTCGGGACATCCGCAGGGGCCAGCGCTGTCCCTTCTCAGTTGCAGGCCTTGCCCACACTCCCGACCCGGCTGCAGCTGCTTATGACACTTGCGCTTCGGGGGGCAGCCCAGAGTTCTGCCACTGCCAAGGTCTCTCCCGCCCTCGGTGGGCTCCTCCAGACGAGTGTCCCCGGGACCTGATTCCAAGAGAATGGACCTGCCCTGCCCATCCCAGAGCTCAGCCTGCTCCGGACTCAGGAGAGCCTGCTCATCGGCAAAGCCCGAGCACTCTCCGGGAAGGTCCGCGGAGCTGTCCTGCGTGTACTGCGTCTCCTGCTTGACCACGACCTCCTCCACTGCTGAGAGAAAGGAGAACCACAAAAGAGATCACAGTCTAGGTTGTTTCAGAGCTAAACGCACCTCAGCGAGCTTCAGAAGGGCTCAAATTAGAGTACCCCAGGAACAAGGGAACTGGGACAATATGAAAGAGGAGGAGACTGAGTGGCTTGCAAGACCTGAAAAACTGAACCTATACTCAGGTAGAGACGTGCTGATTGGAATTTAAATACATCATGCTTACAGACACTGTTATAAGTTCTCCAAGCTTGTCCACAAATTTGCTTTCAACCTCTGTAGAAAATGGCTAGATAAACACAGGTAAAACGCATAAGCTACTTTAAGTGTTAAGAGTGTTAAAATAATAAATGTGAACAATAAAACAAACACACACCTAAACCTGTAGCTTAGAAATCTAGTATCCAGCTCCGTTCTTCCTGCAGTCTCCCCAGATGACCTGGTTCCCAGTGGCTTCTCCTGCCTCTTGCCCAGCGAGCCTCACTCCTGCAGATCTGACCCACCCTGCTCTGTCTCCGCTGGGTTCTGACTCATGTCTGTTAGGTACTTTATCCTGTACAGACACGGAAGGGCGAGGCGGCCGCCAGTCTCAAGGACTCCCCGCAGCAGTGAAGGAGGTAAGAGCCACGTATTAGAGATGAACTCAAGACAACCATAAAGGAGTTTAGAATAAATGCCGGACAAGGCGACTGACAAGCAGCGCTGGGCAGCTTGGTGGTGGCAAAGCTCACGACAGGCTGCTGGGGGCAGGACGGGGGTGGAATTCTGGAGCCACTCACCTGGGTGGCCACCATGAGACTCTTCCTCCTCTAAGTCACCCGGCATCTCTGCACCCAACTCCATGTCTCCTTCGGGCTGGCCGAGCACCTCTGGGGTGGAAAGGGCACAGTGTGAGCCCAGAAGACAGGACTGGTCATTTGCCAGTGAACAAGGTGACCGAAGTCAAGGAGCTGAAGGTAAAACTTCAGAAGACTCACAGTCACTTTCCCCTAGCAGTTTTGGACAATTCAGAAAATTACGGCCAATTCAAAGGGTCCATTTGGCTAATGGCTGCCTTCAACACTCCTTCTCAGCCGCTGGGGGCCAGGGCCCAGAGCTCCCTGCTTTCCTCCCAATACCACCCCCACCTCCCATGGACAGGGGCTCCTTTCCGGGGGTCTAACTTCACCTGGGCCACAGCCCTGCAAGGCAAGGTGAGCACTGCTGTCCCCACTGGGACAGACAAGGCAAGAGCCACCAGCACCTGCGACCCAGACAAGCTCACCGTCTCCTCTCTGACCATCTTCCCCTTCCGTCTCCCTCCCTCCGCTCCGGTCACACTGGCCTTCTGGACAAGCCTCCACAGGCCTCGGTTCTAAAGGAGTTTAGAACCCAACAAAATGCATCAATTGTTTTACCTATAAAGATGAACATCTATCAAGCAGCACTTCTAATCAACACAATATGAACTTGGAAACCAAAGGACCGGATGTAATTCCAGGTAAATGCCAAAAAACATTGTTTGGCGAGTCCCTGCTGCCTGCCCATCCCAGGTAACAAAGGATTTCTTGTCAAGCCGTCCTAAGTATTAAAAACAGCTTGAGGTATCCTAGTTGTGTTATACTCTAACGCACATGATGACATTTTATCTATTAGTATAAACGCTATCAAGAACTGACTACGTGAATACAGAGAAGAAATACAAAACCTTTCCAAGAGTCTTCCTAAACTGAGGGCCTGGAGACTCCCATTACTCAACCCGGCTGAGGCCAAGAGAGGACTCACAGCCACGAGAATCCCAGGTGAAGCCTGGGTCACACACGCCTTGGTCAGGAATTGCAGGATGTCTGAGGGCGAGGTTCAGGGAGAAAACCGCTACCTACTCAGAGAGACCAGAGTCTCATAGTTGCTCTTCATCACATTGGCATAGAGCTCCTTCTGCCAGTCCTCCAGGTTTTCCCACTCCTGCTCCGAAAAGCAGACTCCATCATTTTCAAGTGACCTGGACACCTGGAATCACAAATGTCACACAGTGAGGGCCTCCGATCAAGGATACAAAGGAAAAGCCGACCACTGAGAAATCTTCACTGACAGCCCCTAAGAATCAGGCTTACCTTGGGGGCCTCGCCCTTGCTGCCGGGGGGCAGCCGCAGGATCCAGAAGTTCCTGTTCCTCAGCAGGTTCTCCACGTTCTCCAGCCGCCTCTGCAGCAGCCCGTACTCCTGAAGCAGGGTCCCCAGCACGGCCCACTTGCCCTCCAGCTGGTTCCCGAACTCCACGGCCGTCTTCTCACAGTCAGCCAGCTTCTTCTCGGCCGTCCCTGTCCGCCCCTCCAGAGTCAGCAGGCGGGCGGCCTGGGACTCCACCTTCTTCTCCACGGCCTGGATGGCGGCCACCACGGTCCAGAGTGAGATCTCTGTGGTCTCCAGGTAGGAGCTTTTCTCTGTTGCTTGTGGGGGCGGCGTGGAGGAAGTCAGAGGGCTGGAGCGGTGCTTCCTCCTGTGCTGAAGAACCAGGTGCAGGGTCAGGTGATCTTTTCCAAACAACAGGTTAAAAACACACAAGGGGTCCAGGAACACTATGGCACCTAGTTTCTACTTTTTTTCTTTTTTAGTTTAAAAAGCATGTGCTTTCATATTCTGATACTTCAAATTACACATATATGCCATAAGAAGAAGAAACCGAAAAGGAGAAAGAAAGAAACATGTATGTAAAATATCACCATCCAGAAATGGGCTGTTGGAATTTTGGTGTTTCCTACAGGTCCCCCCCCGCCCCCATCTTTTAACTTACTTTATTTTTCAACAAAACTGCCATTGTAAGTGTTTTGTTACCTGCGTTTCACAGCCAGCCTTTTCAGTACGACTTTCCAGTCGGTATTCATGTTTTTAAGCCAATTTTTTTCTATTTGATATTTTAGAGTATGTATGGTACTCTGCTATGATAAATGATGTGATTTCCATCCACTTTCACCTCCACACTCCTGCCAGACTTCGCAGTGGATCACGTCAGCCCTGCAGGGGGCTCTCCACAATCAAGACAAAATTCCTTAGCAGGACCTACAAGACTCACCACATTCACCTTTGCAACTTACCAACGAGGATAGTGAAAACCGAATCCTTCAGAAACATTTACTTAAATGACCTGAGTCCTCGGGCACTGTCCCTAGGCTTCACATTTTTAGGGTCTGTCCCTGACAGTGGCTGAATCTCAGAATTAATAAAACCAACACCTGGGAAGTGTTTCTGAGCTGTCCTCTTGCCCACACTGTGTGTTCATGTCAGTCTTAAACCCCCAAAGCTTCATATTCTCTTATATGGCACACACTTTATTCAAGGCTGCTTCTCTAACTATAATGAGGACATGGAGAACAAGACATTGGAAGAACTGCCAGGGCCTGAGCTTATGGTCTAGAGAAAGAGGGGATGAGATGAGGCCAACCAATGGCACAGAACTGAACATTTAAGTTTGGCCGTGACCTAGTCCAGGTAACCAACTCAGTTCATTACTGAGCTATTTAAATCAAAGGCTTAAATACCCCCCTTAAAAAACACGTGAAGAAAAGTTTAATGTAAAAGAAAAATACAAATGAAACAAAAAAAAATTTGATTACTGGATGAAATCATTTCACCACACATTTTGCCTATCAGGAGGGTGGGCCCTAATCCAGAGTGACTGGCGTCCTAAGAATGTGAGAGAAATACAGACACGGAGACACACACACAGAGGGAAGACACAGTGGGAAGGCACACACAGGAGATGCACACCTGGATCTGGAGCAGAGGCTGGAGCTGCGCTGCCACAAGCCAAGGAACACCTGGCGCCGGCAGAAGCCAGGGGAGAGCAGGGCACAGATGCTGCCTCACGGTTCTCGTAAAGAACCAACCCTGTGGACCCCTGGAGGTCAGACTTCTAGCCTCCAGAACTGACAGACAAGCACTTTGCTGGTTAGGCCACCTAGCTGGTGGGCCTTTGTTACAGCAGCCCTAGGAAAGATACACCTTATACCAGAATGGTTAGTGTCAGTCACTCAGCGTGTCCAACTCTCTGCGACCCCACGGACTGTAACCTACCAGGCTTCTCTGTCCATAGAATTCTCCAGGCAAGGATACTGGAGTAGGTTGCCATTTCCTTCTCCACCTTATATCAAAATACTCCTCAGCAATAAAAAGGAACGAATTATTGATACCTATAACAACATGGATGAATCTCAAGATCACAAATGTGAAAGAAACCAAACACAAAATGCTACATGCTGCATTCACTTACTTGACATTCAGCAAAAGACAAAACTATGGACACAAGACACATCAGTGGTTGCCAGGGGCTGGGACTGGAGGAAATTAATCACTTAGGGGGTACTTTTGGGGATGATGATGACAATATTCTATAACTTGGTAATATGATGACTATACATTTTTCAAAACTCACTGAAGTACAGTTATGCTTAAGGAGTGAATTTTATTGTGTGTAAATTATATCTCAGTAAACAGGACGCAGAGTATCAAGGAAGCAGAAAATGTTAGCTATCATAAAAGATACCATAAACAAAGTCGAGAAACAAACAGGAAGAGAATATTTGTAAACAGGATATGAATTAGAAAGAAAAGATAAATAACCCAAACATATAACTGCAGTAATTTGCAAAAGTGGAAATGTAGGTGGTCAGTAAGCAAATGAAAAGACAACCACATTAGCTGTCAGGAACGCAGATACAACCAAGTAAAATCACTTTTCATCAACCTGTTTGAGAAATATGAAAGAGAGGGAAAGGGAACAACAATCAGAGCCAACTATCACGTGGTAAGTCTGGTACCCTCGTAAACATTCCTGGAAGGAATGAAAAATACTATAGACTTTGAGGGAAGAAAATATCCAAAAGGTCATTAAAAATCCTTTCACCTAGTGATACCACTAAGGGACTCTTCAAAAATAAACAGATCATTATTCAGCGACATACATATGAAGATGACTGATTACTGGCAACATTCTTTGGAAGAGCCAAAACCTGGAAATAATCTTGATGTCTTTTTTTTTGTTTGCACCAAGTGGCTTACAGGATAGTTCCCTGATCAGGTGTTGAACCACACCTGATCAGGTGGGCCACAGTAGTGATCGGCTCCCCAGGTGGCTCAGTGGGTAAAGAATCCACCTATCAATGCAGGAGACTCAAGAAATGAAAATTCAATCCCTGGGTTGGAAAGATCCCCTGAAATAGGAACTGGCAACTCATTCCAGTATTCTTGCCTGGAGAATTCCATGAACAGAGGAGCCTGGCAGGCTACAGTCCATAGAGTTGCAAAGAGTTCAGACACGACTGAAGTGACAAGGGGCACAGTGACAGTGCCAAGTCCTAACCACTGGACCACAAGGGAACTCCCTCTAGATGTCTATCAATAAGAAGATGGTTAAATGAATTGTGGCACAAAAATGATGTTACACAATTGTTAAAAAGAATGAGTTAGACCTATGTGTATGATCTAGAAGAATGTTCATCATACACTGATAGGATAAAAGGCAACTCTGAGGGAAATACATTTATTATGACTTCATTTTCCTAAAGAAGAGACAAGATAAGTGTATATGTTTGTTTTAGGACACAGGAAGGTGTGGGAAGATATTCACTAAACTATACTAATACAAGTCAGCCTCAGGATGTGAGAGAGAGGGACTTTAATCTTTGATTATAAACTATTGCTTGTTTGACTTTTTCACTAAACACATACTCCTCTATAATTTTTTCCTTAGATTTCATACATAAGAATACTCCTGAAGGCAATGAGAAATCTTTAAAAAGTACACTTACACTCACCATATTTCTGGATTTTCTGGGACAGTCCTGCTTGCAAATTGTATCTTGCTGTCAGATCATGTATCATACACCGGGCCTGCAGCTATGGTCTGAAACCCACAATCACTGCTTATGAGACACAGCCCCTGCTCTTAGGAAACCTACAAGCTGCTTGAGTAAAACACTAAGCAACACTCTAAAGTGATACTTGACAAAGCTGGACTAGATGATATTTAAGGTTGCTTCTAACTCTGAGATAGATGACTTTTTGTATTGAACAGAAAAAAAAAAGAATATTTTCATAATACATAAAATATATAAAGTAGTGACAACAAATCTCTATGTAACCAGCATTCAGGTAAAAAAACTAATTAATTAAAATTAAACACATATGTGCACACACACGCACAGTCTACCTTGGAGATACCATGGGTTCAGTTCCAAACCACCACAATAAAGCAGGTATGACAATAAAGCAAGTCAAATGAATTTTCTGATTTTCATAAAGCAGGTATGCCAATAAAGAAAGTCAAATGANATAAAGCAGGTATGACAATAAAGCAAGTCAAATGAATTTTCTGATTTTCATAAAGCAGGTATGCCAATAAAGAAAGTCAAATGAATTTTCTGATTTTCTAGTACATATGAAAAGTTATGTTTACACTATTCTGTAATCTAATGCAATAGCGTTATGTCTAAAAAACAGTATATACCTTAATTTAAAAATACTTTATCGCCAAAAAATGCTAACCATCATCTGAGCCTCCAGTGAGTCGGAATCTTTTTTGCAGTATTAACATCAAAGATTATTGATCACCATAACAAATATAACAATGAAAAAGTTCAAAATATTCTGAGAATCACCAAAACGTGAAACAGAGATATGAGGTGGGCAAATATGCTGGAAAAACAGCAGATGACAGACTTGCTCAACAGACAGTCGCCATAAACCTTCAACTGGTCAGAAACTCTGTCAAGGGCAGTAAAGCAAAGTGCAACACAGTGAGGCATGCCTGTGTGTGTGTGTGTTTTATTTATATCAACTTTACAGTCCTTCATGCAACTCTCTAAAGTAACTACTATCCCAAATTTGGTTTTTCACTATTAACTGCCCTTTTTCATATTTTTTTTTACCATGTTTGTTTACAAAAAATATATTCTTCTCATTGTTCATGTTTTAGGATTTTACATAAACAAGTCACTCTTCTACAACTCCAGGGAACAGCTTGGTATTGCAGGTGGCTTTGATTAATTCATTTTCACTGCTATATAATATTCTACCATGTGACTACACCACAATTTATTTTTCCATTCCACTACTGATGTTTCCTCATCTTTATCATTACAAACAGTAGTATGATGAATAGAACTGTACCTGGCTTCTAGTGGATATGGGCAAGTTTTCCAAGAGCATAGTCCTAGTAAGGGAATTGTTGGCTCATAGGGTATATACACATCCTGAATTTAAACAGATAACGTCAAATGTTTTCCAAAGTAGTTTTATCAATTTCACTCCCATAAGAAGTCTATAAGTATCATCACTGTCAAAATAAAATTTGTGTCCCTCTAGCAAAGTTAAAGTGACAGCTGCTCAGTCATGTCTGACTCTTTGCATGCCCATGGACTATAGCCTGCCAGGCTCCTCTGTTTATGGAATTCTCCAGGCAAGAATACTGGAGTGGGTAACACTTCTTTCTCCAGGGGATCTTCAGGACCCAGGGATCAAACCTGGGTCTCTTGCACTGCAGGCAGACTCTTTCCCTTCTGAGACACCAGGGAAGGCCTTGTGCGTGTCCCTCTGTAGATCTGAAATGATATCTCATCATGGTTTTCATCTGCATTTTTTTTATTACTAGCAAGGGATAAGCATCTTTCCTTAATTGTACTGGCCATTCAAATTTCCCCTTCAGTGCTGAAGTCTTTAGTCCATTTATCTTTTGGGTTATCTGACTTCTCTAAGTATTTATGAGGTTGTCTAATACAATTTGTCTGTAAATTCTGTATGCTAATCTATCAGTTATATGTATTACAAATAACTTCCCTTATTTGCGCCTCATTTTAAAATTCTCTTTATTACTGTTCAATATAAAGTTTTAATGTAGGTGAGTTTTTTCATCAGTATTAATTCTCTTCTGGTTTGAACTTTCAAGTCAGGTGTACAAAAAACATCTATATCATATGATACTGTCTTCTAAACACTTGATAGTTTTGACTTTCACATTTAAGTATTTATCTCAACTAGAATTGAGACAGTATTTGTGTACAGTGCAAGCCTCACTTTTCATATGGGAAGTCAACAGATCTAATACTATATATTGAAACACCCACCTGCTATCTCTGTCATAAATCAAGTTTTCATACATGAAATCAGTCTGTTTCTGGCATGTCTCTTCTGTTCTATGGGTCAATTTTCTATTGCTTTACCAAAATTACCATCTTAATGACACAGCTTTTTGATAATTATTGATACCTGGTACAAGTCCCTCCTACTTATTTTACAGGAGTATCTTGATTATTTTTGGCCTGGTGATAAGTCTCCAAGTTTGAAAGGTTTCACAAAAATATCTTTAGAGATTTTGTCTGGCACTGCATCGAATTCATAGATAAATCTGAGAAATGACATCTTTAGAATAAAAATGTTTCAACCCGCTCACAGCATATACCCCTTTTCGAACGTGTTTTAATATCTTTTGATATTTAAACATATTCCATAGGTATCTGTTCCAATCATCAGTTGCTGTATCATAAATAATTCCAAAACGTACTGGCTTGAGACAACAACATGTATTTTGCTCACAAATCTGCAACTAGAGGAGGCTTTGTCAGGGACAGTTTGGTCAAGAGGAGCACATTATGGGCAGGTGCTAGAATCACCTGAAGAATCCCAAGCCACATGGACAGGGAAGATCTTGGTGGTAATGGTCATGCTCTGTTCAATAACTCTGCCTAAGGTCCCAGTCTGCAGTCAGCATCAACCACTAGAATACACTTGCATTTCTAATAGGGCATTTTTGCCTTCTCTCTTTTTTCTTCATTAATCTCTCTAAACACTGAAATTATATATCGATAGCTATGTGGATAAAAAATTATTATCCTCTGTGTCCATGCTGCACACTGTAACTGAAGGAAAGTTACATGGCTCAAAATAGCCTGGAGTTAAAACTCCCCTGGGGATCCTCCCCACCACTCTACGCAAAACAAAGAACTCTCTCACCCAAAGAAAAAAAATGGACATTAAGGTTGATTACGCCCAGCTCCCAGCCGGTCCCAGCCTCTGGCCGATCTCCAGAATTTCTTGCCCCAGCCATTTATGAGATAACTACTCCGAACAACCTTGGAGAAGAACAGGCCCCCTTAGGACAGCAGATTTCCACACATATGCCTCTATATACTCACGCTTTCCTTGGGATAGTGCAGCCGCTCACTCATCTGACTGCTGCCCCTTCTCGCCTCTTTAAAGGTGATCTGTTCCTGTAAAGTGCTGGTCTTGTTCTTTTTCTGAACCTCGCTTTTTCTAACTCCTCTACCCTACAGTAACAGCCACCAGAAACATGCAGATGCTAAAATGTAAATTAATTAAAATTAATTAAAAACTGAGTTCTTCAGTTCCCCAGCCACTGAGCTACATTGCAAGTGCTCGACAGCCACATGCACTTTGTTCCTACTTCACTGAACAGGGCAGAGAATATTTCCATCATCTCAGAAAGCTCTGTTGAAGGCACTACACCCTTACTAGTTTTTTATTCATAAAAAACTAAAGTTGTGCTAAAATTTATACTATGACAGTGAATTTTCCTTGTAGTTCTATCAATTTTTATTTTACATATTTTGAGGCTATGTAATTAGATGCACACAGATTAGAAACATTCTATCAGGATGGTAAATAAGTCTTTTACCATAATAAAAGCAGTAGTAGCCCTTTATCTCTAGCAATATTAATATAGCTAAGCCAATTTTCCTTTTTAAAAAATACTGTTTATTTTTTTACTTTATTTTTGGCTGTGTTGGGTCTTTGTTGCTGTGCATGGAAATTCTCGAGCTGCAGCAAGTGGGGGCTCTCCCTCGTCGCAGTGCACAGGCTTCTCTCTGTGGGGGCTTCTCTTGCTGTGGAGCACTGGCTCCAGGAGCTGCAGCACAAGGACTCAATAGCTGTGGCACATGAGCTTAGCTGCTCCAAGGCATCTGGAACCTTCCAGCACTGGGGCTGAACCCGTGTCCCCTACACTGGCAGGTGGATTTTTAACTACAGAACCACTACAGAAGTCCCCAATTTTCCCATGATTAGTATTAGCCTGGTACATGTTTTCATATCCTTTTATAGTCAACTGTTTTTATAGCTTTATCTTTTAGTCATCTCTCTTATAAACCATTTGCTAAACCATCCTATCAATCTCTGCCTCTTAACTAAAACATTTAGTCCATTTACACTTATTGTAATTGTTGGTCTATTTTTATTTATTTTTACCTTATTTGTGCTATTTATCCCATCCTGTCTCTTGCCTTCTTTTAGATGGATTTTTTCTTATTCTATTATTCGCCCTTTTAAATTTTAAGTTATATAGCCAATGTCTAGTCTTTTAGCAACCATCCTAGAAACTGCTTACAAAGACTTTAAACATCTGAATTTTGATCATCTCTTCCTAATGTTTATATCAATGCTGCCATGTATTTTAGAAGACCAGTGCTGTAACCCCTGAGCTATGGAGCCAACTTCTGCCATGCATTTTAATTCTATCTTTGTTTTTAACACACAAGAGAGTATTACTCTTTTATTCAGACAATAGTTGTTTAGATTCACCCATCTTAATGGATCATCATATTTTCTTACATTATCACTTTCCACTTAGGATAATTTTCCTTGTACCTGAAGTACATTCTTTAGAATCTCCTTTAATGAGTATACTAGTAACAAATTGTCAGTTCTGTCTGAAAATATTTCACCATTTTTTAAAAAGATACTTTCAAGCAGTATAAATATGGGACAACATAGTTATTTTCTTTTAGCCTTTCCACAATGCCAATCTATTGCTGGCTGGCTTCCAGCATTGCTGAGATGAACCTCATCAGTCTTAATAATGGTTCATTTGAAGGTAATCATTTTAAAGAATTATCTATGCATTGTATTCTGTACCTTCACCATTGTGTGTCTAGGTAGAGATTTCTTTATGTTTATCCTGATTGGGATCTACTGGGCTTCTAAGTATTTGTATTTGCATCAGTCCTATGATATCCTCAGCCATTAACCACTCATCAAACATGGCCTCCAGGGCAGACTGTGTGTGTTTCCTACTGGAATTCCAATATGTTTTTCTTCTGAAATTGCAACCTCTGAAATCTCTGAATGGCTAATTCTTTGCCCAATCATTTTACTGGCTTTTCTCAGAGTTTTTCATTACCTTTTGCGTAACTTTTTATTGGGAATTCATTTTTTCTTAGATTGTATCTATAAAGAATTATTTGCAGTCTGAGTTAAGTGTTGAATACCTCAGAGATTTGGGTTCATTTCTGACAGACAGATGGAGGCTCTGCTTTAAATTCTTGGCTTAAGGTTTCCCAGACACCAAGGTCATATGCACTCAGGCAACAAGCCCCCTGGAGAGTCAACATGAATCCTCAAGTGGCACCTGGCGCCCATCTCTCAGCACCAAGGTTTGTCGTGGCTTTCTCTGCAGTCACGCCCGAGAGGCAAGAGCTTACTTCCAGTTCACCCTGAGGGGTGCCCTTTGAAGTTTCACATTATGAGACGAGTTGAAGGCATCTGAGACTTCCCATCTTCGGCTCTGAGTTTTGTCTATTTTCCAATGCCCCTTGAGGTTACAAACACTACCAATGAATGTTCAGCAAATGTCCTCAAAGTTGGCTTCAGAAATCCTTATCTCTTAAGAACTCACTCTTTCACTTAGGCTTTGGGCTCTTTCATATTTTTACTAACTACATTTCAAATATATTTGTTCCCCCGACCCCTCAGAATTTTTGGTAGTTTTCATCAGGGCACCCTTTGACCATACTGTCAAACTAAGAGTTACAGAATCCTTTATCTGAAGACGAGACGAAACATGCTCGAGGACAATTTAAATATGTTCTGCATTGATAGATCCATAAATTAAAGCATACTTGGGGGTTTTGGAGGACAAGACTTCCTTTTAACAAGGTCTGTTGAAGACATGTAGGAAACTGTACTGAACAGTTAGGAAGAAGTATTCTGAAGTTAGTAATGTGTCCTCCAGCCCAACTTTAGTATTATAATGTGGTTTTGAGGAAAAGGCAAGTCTTTGACTAGATCACCTTAGCTTAAAGGAATCAAATGAGGTAAATATAGTGATATCATGAACATTTGTGTCTTGTCATAATTCATTGAAAACAAACACGTATTAAGTCTCCCAATCCTTAGTTCTTACTGACTTCCAACAAGAATCAAATACAACGCACCCAGCTCATGGTCAAATTTTCACAACAGGATCTCCTTAGCCCTCTCACATGATTCTGAAAGTGTCTCTAGATCAAGAAATGCTGCCCTAATGACCAACTGAACTCCACCTGCCCTTTCTAGAGCAAATCCTTATATCATCAAAGTAACCAACATTTCGTAAAAAGAGAATGTCAGAGCTGCCAAGAACCTTGTGTGATGTAAACTCAGTTGCTTCAGTCATGTCCTAGTCTTTGCGACCCTATAGACTACAGCCCGCCAGTATGCTCTGTCCATGGGATTCTCCAGGCAGGAACAATGGAGTAGGTTGCCAAGGCCTCCTCCAAGGGATCTTCCCGACCCAGAGATCGAACCTGGGTCTCCTGCATTGCAGGCGGATTCTTCACCGCTGAGCCACCAGATCATCTAGTAAATAGTAACAACACTCAATTTACAACTAAGGAAACAGAGGCTTAAAGTGAACACAACTGCCTAAACTCACTAGACTAGATAGCTGAGAGCAAAGTTACTGGCTAAAACCCAGTTTCCCGACTCCGTGCCCAAGCTCCACGTCTTGCCATTCCCTGAATGGGGACATGTGGGACAGGAGACGGAAACAGATCGACAGCTTTCCAGACAAAAAGCCAGCAACTTACACCGTGAGGGTAACACCTGCCCCCCAGGGAGAGAAAGCCCAGCCTTAACTTCAACCAGCGCGGCTGCAACTCCGGGCAGAGTCTGCAGCAGGAGACAGTACGGCAGAAGGAACGAGGGCAACCCCATCAGGCCGACAACGAGCTGGTCACAGAAAAGCAGAGTCCTGGGGTCCCGGAACACGGGGTAAGTTGTCTGGCAATGACGGGGACCCAGGGTTTCCCATTCGCGCCTCCTCACCAGCCTGGAAACGGACTCTCTTAGGGCGCGACGAAAACTAGTCGGGACGGTAGCAAATCCAAGAACAAGAAACAAGCCTCGGAGAAGTTTCTCGGCGAAGACGCCGGGGCAAAGGCCGACGCGGAGGGAACCGTCCGGGAGAGGGCAGGGCGCTGGGGTCGTCGGGGGAAGGTCAGCGTGGACCCGCGACAGCCGCGGACCACCGACGCCCAGCCCCACCGGGGCCGCACCTCGAAGCCCAGCTCCCAGCCGGGGGCTCCGCTACCCCCAACACGCCCCCGGGCCCGCACGAGGAGGTCTCTTACCCGAGCAGGTGCCAGCTCCGCCATGGCTGCCACCCGGGGCCCGTCTGATACGCCTCGGGCTGCGTGTGGGGTTTCCTGGGGCACCCGCCGGTACCTCCTGGCAGCCGCCCCCAGCGCCTTGTTGATGCAAGGTGCATTGTGGGAGTCCGGCCCTCCCGGGCCAAGAGGGGTGCCACCCGCCGGTCCTCGCCGCGCGGGGTTTCCCCTAGCGCCCCCGTGCGGCAGGAGGGTGAACGACACCTCGGCATTCAGCCGGAGAGGGACGCAGGACTGGGTCTTTCCAAGTCAAGGGCCGGTTGCGAATTTAAGACGAGACTCGTATAACCACAGCTTCATTAATGAACCCCAAACAAGCAATATTGCCTAATTTTTATCGTGATACGTTTACCACTGCTTATAAAGCACTTAATTCCATTCAAATTCATCTCTCAGTGATTTGGAGGCCTTCCCTGGTCGCTCAGACGGTCAAGAATCTGCCTGCAATGCAGAGACCTAAGTTCGACCCCTGGGTGCCGAAGATCCCCTGGAAAAGGGAACAGCAACCCACTCCAGTATTCCTGCCTGGAGAATTCCATGGACAGAGGAGCCTGTTGGGCTACAGTCCATGGGGTCGCAAAGAATCAGACACGACTGAGCGCCTAACACAACACATAGACCTCTGCTTCTCCCGCACTCTGGTAGGTGCTTTGACAGATTAAAAAAAAAACGTATAAAACTCATGGGGGAGAATGAAAGAAGTGAAAGTCGCTCAGTCGTGTCAGACTCTTTGTGACCCCATGGACTATACAGTCCAAGGAATTCTCCAGGCCAGAATACTGGAGTGGATAGCCTTTCCTTTCTCCAGGGGATCTTCCCAACCCAGGGATCAAACCCAGGTCTGCACACTGCCGGCGGATTCTTTACCAGCTGAGCCACAAGGGAAGCCCAGGACAGAAGAATAGATACATGTGTTAAGTATGGCTGAGTCTCTCTACTGTCCACCTGAAACTCTCTCAGTATTATTATTGGCTATACTCCAATATAAAACAAAAAGTTTTTTTAAAATGTAAAACTCAGACATTTCTCTGAGGGAAGAACTTGTAATCTGGTTGGGGAAAAGGGACACACTCCCAAAATGGCAAGCAGTTTTATCCAAAAATACACCTGTTGCTTGCTTTTTAGAAACCAGAAACACATTTCGCATATCAACAGGGGGTTAGGTGCCGAGACCACCCCCACTGAAGCCTATCAGTGATAGTAATCACGCTTTGGAAAATCCAAGAGAGCCCACCCAGCCCACATGCTTCATGTTAAACCATGCATTCTCAGTTTTGGGTTGAAAAGCATGGTTGCTTTACCATTTGAGCATGCAAT